ATGAAGTAACTGGGGAATTTGAATGACTGACCTTGAGATTAGCTGCCCAACGCGTAACCCATTACACAATCAGAGGTCCCTGGACTCAGTTTATTGTTGTTGTTGTTTAGTGCCATCGAGTCACTTCTGACTCATAGTAACCCTGCGTAGGGTTTCCTAGGTGGATTTGAACCACCGACCTTGCAGTTCAAACTGTTGTTGAGATCCAGTGCTTATCCTCCAGTGCCACACCAGGACTCCTGGATTCAGTTTAAATGATTCTAATTTATTGGTAACAGCCAAAGCATCATAGTCAAGAGGCAGCCTTCTTTTCTCCATCAGGCCTGTCACAGTGTCAGCCTTGGCCACATTAGTGTCACAGAGCTCCTGTACAGCCTTTTGGATCCGGTGCATGCTGGTCCTGACACCCACAATGGTCATGAGCGTCCTGTTGTCTTCATGACTGACTCAGTGGTTGAAGGGACTTTCATGTGGGAACAGTGGTCAAGCTTGTGTCTCCTGGGGGCGCTTTTCCAAGATTAGCTGGGCTACTTTTAGATGCCTTGGGCAGCCAGAGATGAATGACACGCAGATCTTTTGTTTTGTTTTCCTGTGGCTGTGGATGCCTTTCAGTGTGCTGCCTTCTTGCCTGTTAATGCCTTTGCTTTGGCTTCCGTTTTGGGAGGGGCAGGGGCTTCCTTCTTTGCTTTTGATGTCATTTTCCTCGTGTGGATGTTTTAAAGGCAACTTGTTGGAAACTCTAGGGGCAGTCCTCCTAGGGGACAGTTCTCTTAGGGGACAGTCCTCCTAGGGGACAGTCCTCCTAGGGGGCAGTTCTCCTAGGGGACAGTCCTCCTAGGGGGCAGTTCTCCTAGGGGACAGTTATCTTAGGGGGCATTCCTCCTAGGGGACAGTCCTCCTAGGGGACAGTTCTCTTAGGGGGCAGTCCTCCTAGGTGACAGTCCTTTTAGGGGGCAGCTCTCCTAGGGGACAGTCCTCCTAGGGGACAGTTCTCCTAGGGGACAGTCCTCCTAGGGGACAGTTCTCCTAGGGGACAGTCCTCCTAGGGGGCAGTTCTCCTAGGGGACAGTTCTCTTAGGGGGCATTCCTCCTAGGGGACAGTCCTCCTAGGGGACAGCCCTCTTAGGGGGCAGTTCTCCTAGGGACAGTCCTCTTAGGGGGCAGTTCTCCTAGGGGACAGTCCTCTTGGGGGCAGTTCTTCTAGGGGACAGTTCTCCTAGGGGACAGTCCTCCTAGGGGACAGTCCTCCTAGGGGACAGTCCTCCTAGGGGGCAGTCCTCCTAGGGGACAGTCCTCCTAGGGGACAGTCCTCCTAGGGGACAGTTCTCCTAGGGGACAGTCCTCCTAGGGGACAGTCCTCCTAGGGGACAGTCCTCCTAGGGGACAGTTCTCTTAGGGGACAGTCCTCCTGGGGGACAGTTCTCCTAGGGGACAGTCCTCCTAGGGGACAGTTCTCCTGTGCCCTGTAGGGCCACTCGTCAGAACAACTCAGTGACAATGGTGTCTTACTTCACACGCCACTCATTTTCCTCCACCAAACCTCCATCCCCTCAGTCCAGGATCACACCTAACATTTGTAGGATCCTGGGAAAGAGCCAAAATGGAGGTCCACATAACGTGTGTCAAAATAGGTTCAGTCACGCTAACAAACTGTTACAGCCTATATTCTTACCCTGACAAAGAAACCTTTGTAACAACCTGGAAGGTCAGGTCTTAGAATTCCTGGACTTCCTGGCATTCCTGGGATAAGAGCCAACCCACCTCTTACCCTCATCCTGTTCCTTCCTCTTTCTTAACTGAGAGGGGACTGATGCCATGCTGTTGGCACCCACAGCCCACATGGCCCTGCTGCGATCACATCTCCCAAGCTGAATGGAATGGGCTCAAGCTCTGGACCAGGAAATTTAGGAGGCAGGACTGTGCACAAGAGCAAGGGAGAAGAGTGGGCCCAGAACAAGGGGTACGGGAAGTCAAGTTTTGTTTTCAGAGCACACCGAAACTAAAAGGCAGGCCAATCACAGGAATGGGCAGACTGAATGCCCAGGATGAGGAAATGGCCACTTTTGCTGGGGATGGGCTTGCATGTTCCAGTCTCAGAAATGTCATCACCCCGGGCAGCCAGTAGATGAGATCGTCTGGGCACTGCCTTCTTCACCTGTCACTTGTCAGCAGTTAGGATGTCAGCTTTTCTCACTAAATCCCTTGACTTGTGTCTCTCCACCTTCTAGCTCATGCCATCGTCTCCCACGGCGGGACTAACTGATCTAGCTAATCTCCTGGCCTCACCCTGGGGTTCCTTGAATCCCTTCTACCGCAGCTGGAACAATCTTTTGAAACACAGACATGACTATTATTGGCTTGAAACATCAGTGTCAATTCATCACCTTTTGATCAAGTCCAAGCTCCTTAGCTTGTTGTTAACAATCCTTTGGACCCCTGCTGCCAGACACATACTCTCATGCAATTACACACACACCACCCAACTCATACGACACACAGCCACACACTGACACATACCTGCACATGTTCATCAACAGCACACTCCCGAACATATGCATATCACACACACAAACATACACACCACTTCTTCTCACACCCAAACATTCCCAGACACATACACACCTCAGACTTATACACTATACACACAGCACACATTCATGCACACTCAAACTCACTATCACAAAGCACATGCTCTGCCACACATACAACACACATCACATACCACAAAACAAACACTACACGTCATGTGCACAGGTATACACTCTCACAGACACTGCACACTCACACAAACACATATACCCACTTACACTCATGCACCATACTTGTATGCACCACATCATGCACACTGCACATATTTACATAGCCACACAGACACTTCACACCCATGTGACTATTTACTCACATTCAAAAGCACTCCCTGCACTTACACGTACATCTAAATGCACTCCACACATTGACACACGGTCCCACAATCACACTCAAAGCACACCCAGGAGCACTCACACTATTACACATGACACGCCCACATACCTCATCATCCAGTTATACATACCGCAAATACACATAACACACACTGTGCACACTTACACAGACCACAACACTCCCCACACCTGATACTCACATTCCTCATGAGGGCATGCCAGCACTCAACACACATGTGTACACACACACACACTCCTCAGACATCACACTCACGAGTACACACACACTCCCCAGGTACCACACTCACACTCACCATATGCACACACACACACACTCCGCAGGCACCACACCCACACTCACACCACGTGTGCACACCCACATACTGGAACCACTCTGATCTACTCGTCAGTGTCTCCCAGGTCCAGGCAGTGCCTGAGTGTGTCCGCTGTCGCAGTGCATGTCGGCATCACCTCCATTTGCTAGGATTCCTCCAGAATCTGGCCTGAACTCTTCCCGGGCCCCTGGGGCTTTGCAAGGTCTGAGGTGGCTCAAGGATTCCCTTAAGAGTTAGCCTGGGTCTCAGAAGCTGGAGTGCCATTTCTGACTGAGATTCCTGAACAGTGTACCTCCCTCATGCCTGGTCTCTGTGTTTCTGAGCTGTTGATGGTGTGACCTTGAAACGGAAAAGGGTCTGTGTGCTTGTCCTTGCCATAGGTGTGTGTGGGGAGGGACGGAACAGCTGCCAGGAACGAGTGACGGAAGATGTCTTTGAGCCTGAACAGGAGAAGAGAGTTGGGGAGGACAGACCCGGGGGCTTCAGGGTCTTAGGGGAAAGGTGGCCAGCCTGAAAGCTAAGTTTCAGGCACTCACTGGGCCACAAGCCTGCCCAGAACCGAGCTGGGTACTTGGTACTGAAGCCTCCAGCCCTGGGTGGGCTTAGCACAGAGGGCAGGGCTAAACTTGGAGCAGGAGCTGAAGCCATGGCCAGGACCTGGGGTGAGGATGTTGGTTGGTCCAATGCCATGCAGACCTGGAAGAGGATATGACACCTGAACCTTCCTGAATGGGCTGCCAGCTGTGAAGGAGCCAAAAGGAGGTCCCCAGCCAGACTGTGGACAGAGGAGCAGGGGGAGACATGTGGCAGAGGCGTGTCACAGATGGGGAGTGGTCCCGAGGGCGTGTGGACAAGTTTGTTTGGAGAAGACCGGAGGGCGGCTATAAGGTGTGCATGCAAACCACCACCACCACGTATCCACTCCCTGTTCGCCTTAGTGAGCTTCCTCGGCAGCCCTCTCAGCTCCGACACTCATGAACACACCTGAGCAAACCACTTCCTGCCCACAGCTTCTGTGTCCTTCCTCTCCTCACGCACTCTGGCCTCAACCCCTCTGCTGCTGCCCACCCCGGGGCCCACTACTCCTGTTTTCCTTCAGACACCCGTTCTTCACTGCGTGCCCACCTACCCCCCTGCTGCGTACACCTTCTCCATCACACAGCTGGTCCCCAGACCTCAACTTCAGTCCCGTCTCTTTTTCGTAGCTTCTAGATTTATAGTCCTGGTCGGCGCTGTAGGAGAAGCACTGTACTGCTTAGGTCAGCAGTTCAAACTCACCAGCCGCCTCTTGGAAACCCTATACAAGGGGTTTCCTTGCTATGAGTTGGAACCGACTCCACAGCACACAAACACCAACAAACCCGACTTGTATGATTGTGGGTCACAGGTTTCCTCCAACTGGTCAGTAATGGGGGAGGTGGAGAGGGACTGAGGGGCTACCACATACCCAGCCCAACAGGGCGCCACTTTGGGATTTCAGAGCCGCAAACTGCCCCAAGGGAGGGTTACCTGGAAATTTAGCTGAGGGCTGGGATGTGGGCAACAGCAGGCAAGTGGACTTGGGGTCTAGCTTTGCCCTGTTGTTTTGATGGCCATGTGTCCTCACCCTCCCTCTCCCGGGGAGCACCGCCTGTCAGCTGTCAGCTTGCTCCTCTCTCGGGAACCCGAGCCCCAGCCTGCCTCAGCCCCCTTCTTGGCCCAGCCTCACCCCTCCCTCCCCTTCTCCTCAAACGCAGCATCTTACAGTTGCCCTGGTGTGGCGCTGGGCCAGTGGCCCCCTCTCCAAGCCCACTGCTGAGCCCGCTGATGCCCAGGCCGCCAGCCTGGGTCTTGATGGCCGACTTGAGCTCGTGGTTCTCGCGGATGAGACGTACCAACTTCTTCAGCTCCTCATTTTCCCGTACTAGCCTCTCGATCTGATGCCGAAGCCCCTCATAATTGGTGAGCAAAGACATGCCTGGGGGAGGCAGGGGGTTGCGGCCTGTGAGAAGGCACTGTAGCTGGAGGCTACCCAGGGCTCCGGGCAAGGCCCGGGCTGGAGCGGGCGCAGGGTTTGCAAGGCCAGCCCAGTGGGCCAGTATTGTGAGGTCAGAGGCTGCCTGGCCCAGCTGTCCATGCCTCCAGGCCTGTGCACCACCTGGCCTCCGCCTGGGCCATCTGCTCCTCCTCTGTCTAGCCAGTCTCACTCCTGGGACACTCCTCCTCGAAGCCCCCTCTTGTCTCCTGGATGGGGCCCACTACTCGTTAGGCCTTAGCGGGCGGACCTCCCTGGGGGAGCACTTGCTGCAGGTCTCCTGAGCCAGCAGAGACTGTGCCCTCAACCCATGAACCCCCAGTGACCAGCCACATGCCTGGGTAGAGAATGAAAACTCACCTCCAGCTTCCTGGTCAGGCAGCCCCCTCCCTCCATCTTAGTCCTGCTGGGTGTGTCCGCGTCCTCCTGGGATGGTCTGACAAGGACACCTGCCTATGGTGTCTTCTGGCCCTAGGCCCTCAGCGTCTTGCCTGGTCTCCACTACTGGCCCCAGGCACCCATGTCTGAGTACCTTGCTCCTTACAGCTTGGGTGCCCGTGTGTGACGACGCAGGCCCCACTACCAGATCCCCTGGTGGGCCTATGTCCTGGATCTCTGTCCCCAGCTCCTTGAATCTTTCAATGTTCATACCTCAAGACTGCATCCTTTTCCTGGATCCCAGAGCTCACGGCCCCTTTCTAGAAGCCAGGTCTTCATTGTTTTCCTGTCTCTCTCAGCGCTGCCTGCACAGAGAACTCAGGGGGGTCTGACCTGGGGGCTGAATAAGGTATGTCTTCATGACCTCCCGGGACTCTGGGGCTGCAGCCCACAGGCCTCGTTGGGACAGATCAAGGCAGCATCCTGGTGGGACCAGACGGGGAGGAACCAGCCTGGACTGGGTCAGCCTGAATTGAGCATTCCACTGGACCTCACAATGGGGGGGCCAGCCCCCCACCAGACTGTGACCCCATTGAGTCACTGTAACCCCCCAGATCAGACCAGACCAGACCAGACCGGGGCCCCTTTCAGTGGGGACACACATCGCCAGAGCCCAGAGTCAGGAAGCCTGGATTACCCAGATGTGGGGACTCGGGAGACAGGGGACTTAGCTGTATCTAAGGCCCCAGGTGTGGGAGGGAAGGTAGAGTGGAAGTGGTGGGTGGCACCCTTTCCTTCACCCCTCATTCAACCCATCACAAAGACAGTCCAGTCCAGGCCTGTGAGCCAGTGTAAGCTCTGCCCACCCCCACACTGCTCCCCTCCCGGACCTCTTTAGATGACCACAGAGGAGGCACTTTGCTACTTCACACCTTACACTTCACAGCTTTCCTGAGAAACTGGCCTCAGGATGATGGTAATTCCACTCTTCTTGTTCCGTTTCTCTCCTCACAGCCTGGCACCAGGCCAAGTGTAACCCATCTCCTGGGAGGTGTTCTCAGAAGACTCACCCCTACCCCCACCCCCCCTGCTCCTCAAAGCGTTCCCATCAGCCTCTGGCTCCTTTCTTGGCACTCCGCTCTGCACAGAGCCTCATTGGTCTCGCTGCTCCTATTTCTCCGCTTTTCTAACCATTTATTTCGGCTGCTGTGTACACACAGGTGACCTTTGGCCCCCAGATCTACTGGGTTTGAGCTTTGCGTGTGGATAAAGAATAGCTAGAGTTTGGAGAACAAGGTGAGAAATGGATCCACACCAGTTACGACTTTGCGTTTGGGAGTGAGAGTCTGGGGGTGGCAGATACTGACTGGGTCTCTCAGTATCTGCAGCTGCCTGACTGGAGGGGGTTATCCTGCTGGGATGATGGGCCCAGTATGCCTCCTGAGTGTCCTCCCGCCAGCAGCTGCTGAGTCAGCCCCTTGTCCTCTTCTCGGGTCAGCAGCTTCTGCACAGTTTGTCCCCCTGATGATTCATCTCCTTAGATCCAGCTCTTTGTTCTAGTTTGCTGAGGCTGGGAGGGAGCTTGGCTCCCAGGAGTCTTGGCAGGTCTAAAAAGCATTCCTCTGAAGCCATCTTTCCAGGCAGGGCATTGCTGAAGGGCGGTGTCTCCTCTTTTGGGGCTGCTGTGACAAAGTGGCCCTAAGTGGTCAGCTTTTGAGAGGCCATTCTCCTTCACAGTGCTGGGTCTGGGAATTGAAAGGAGTCCGGGAAGTGCTCAGGGCTACAATCCTTCCTTGTCTCAGCTTTTGGCAGCCCCGAGCATTTCTTGGCATGCTGTCTTCCTCCATGTTTGTCACTTTGCAAGTCTGTCCTCTCTTATAGAAACTTTGGTGGCATGGTGGTGGGTTAAGCCCTGGACTGCTAGCCACAAGGTTGGAGGTTCTAACCCAACAACTGCTCCTCAGGAGGAAGATGAGGCTGTCTGCTCCTGTGAAGACTTAGTCTCTGAGGCCCTAGGGAGCAGTTCTCCTCGGTTCTCTATGCCCACTAAACAGCAGTGAGCTTCAGTCCGCGTTCATAAAAATGCCTCTCAGATGGAAGTCGGGCTAGGACCCACCCTACTGCAGGGGACCAAGTTAACTGACTACGCGTGCAAAGCACATCCGATTTCCTGTACATAGTCACAGTCAAGAGGTACAGGACTTAGGACTTCAACATGCCTTTTTGGGGAACCCAACTAAACCCATGACAGACAGAGGTCCAGTCCCCTTTTACCTCCCTCCACTGGGATTATCTGTGTGGCTGGGCCTGGGTGAGCTGCCCTCACCTCCTGCAGGGGAGCCCACTTGCACACAGACCATGCACCCAGCAATCCTGACTGGCCATGACCATTCCTGCTGCCTGCTGCTGGCCAGGAACTCCACGGGGACCCACCGGGTCCTCACTCAGGGCCTCCTGAACTTGCATGGAGCCTCCTCCTTCTCTGCCTCCACTCCGCACATCAAAAGGGCCATAGTGACCTGTCCCGAGTGCCTGTTGTATGCCAGGGTTGGCTGTAGCAGCCCCATGGACATCTGACGGGAAGGCACAACACAGCTGTCCCTGCCCCTGCGCATGCTCCCCACTCACGGTCACTGTCACTCCTCGGTGATGACCTCGTTCTGCACAGCTGCCAGTGGTGTGTGTGTGTGTCAGGACGGCCCCCACACATTCCACTTTGTATCCTGCACACAGTAGGTGCTCAATAAATGCACAAGTACAGTTTTATTCAATCTTTGTTTTCTGTTTCTAAGAGAATTGCTCCTGAAGGTATAAAAGGTGTGGGGTAGACCAGCAGTCCTGGTGTGGCACTGTAGGATAAGCTCTGGACTGTGAGGTAGGTTTGAACCACAAACTTGGTGGTTCAAACTCACCAACTGTTGTTGTTGTTAGGTGCTAACAAGTTGGTACTGACTCATAGCGATCCTATGCACAGCAGAAGGAAACTCTGCCTGGTCCTAAGCTAACCTCACAATCGTTGCTACGTTTGAGCCCATTGTACCAATTCATCTCACTGGGGGGGGTCTTCCTCTTTTTTTCCGACCTGACCCTCCACTTTACCAAACATAATAGCCTTCTCCAGTGACTGGTCCCTCCTGACGAAGTTTGGTCATTCTGGCTGCACATCTGCAAACACAGATCTGTTTGTTCTTTTAGCAGTCCATGGTACTTCCAATATTCTCCTCCGACACCATAACTCAAATGCATTAATTCTTCTACGGTCTTCCTTATTCACTGTCCAACTTTTGCATGCATATGAGGTTTTTGAAAATACTATGGCCTGGGTCAGACACACCTTAGTCCTCAAGCTGACATCTTTGCTCTTCAATACTTTATAAATAGGTCTTTAGTAGCAGATTTGCTTAATGCAATACATAGTTTGATTTCTTGTCTACTGCTTCCGTGAGTGTTGATGGCTGATCTGAGCAAATGAAGTTTCTGGCAATTTCAATCTTTTCTCCATTTATAATTGGTCCAGTGGTGAGAATTTTTGTTTTCTTTAAATTGAGATACAACCCATACTGAAGGCTATGATCTTTGCTCTTCATAAATATTTCACTTTCAGCAAGCAAGGTTGTATCATCTGCACATCATAGGTTGTTAATGAGTCTTCCTCTAATCCTGACGCCACCTTTCTCTTCATAGAACCCAGCTTCTCAAATTACTTGCTCAGCATACAGTTTGAAGAAGTATAGTGGAAGAATACAACCTATCATACACCTTTCCTAATTTTAAACCAGTCGGTGTTCCCTTGTTATATTCGAACAACTGTGTACAGGTTCCTCATGAGTGCAATTAACTGTTCCGGAATGCTCATACTTTGCGATGTTGTCCATAGCTTGTCATGATCCATACAATTGAAAGTCTTTGCATAGTCAATAAAGCGCAGGTAAACATCTTTCTGATATTCTCTGATTTTAGACAAGATCCATTGGACATCAGCAATGTTATCCCTCCTTCCACATCCTCTTCTGAATCCAGCTTGAACCTCTGGGAGTTCTCTGACAATGTATGATTGTAGCCGTTTCTGCATTACCTTTAGAAAAACTTTACTCGCATGAAATATCAAAGATACTGTTCAATGATATCTGCATTCCGTTAGGTCACTTCTCTTAGGAATGGGCACAAATACAGATCTCTTCCAATCAGTGGGCCAGATAGTTGTCCTCCAAATTTCTTGGCATAGATGAGTGAGTGCCTCCTGTGTCGCCTCACTTTCTTGAAAGATTTCAATTTTTATTCCATCAATTCCTGCTGCCTTGTTCTTTGCCAGTTCCTTCAATGCACCTTGGACTTCCTCCCTCAGTATCATTGGCTCTTGATCATATATGCTACCTCTTGAAATGGTTGAACATCAACCATTTCTTTTTGGTACAGTGACTGTGTGTATTCCTTTCATCTTCTTTTGATGCTTTCTGTATCATTCAATTTGTCCAGAGAATCCTTCAATATCTCAAGTCGAGGCTTGAATATTTCCATCAGTTCCCTCAGCTTGAGAAATGCTGAGCATGTTCTTCCCTTTTG